ATGTTCACTTTGTTGGTTTCGACCAAACCTCAAAATTTACCGTTATTCGAGGATTTGATTTGAAGTTTTCAGTTTTTAAAATTCTCAAGACAAAATTTACAGATCTTATTGACTGCGAAAATAATTCTGTGTCGTTTTATGAAGTTCATTACAACGCCGAGAAGACGACAAGCTGACATAGGTCCACGAAGTCAATGAAATGTGCGACGAACTACCTCAGGTACAAATCGCAATGATTTATTTCATGGGTAATTCGGATATGGAAGTTGATCAGCGTTGTGCTCATAATCAAAATAATCAAACATTGAAGCGAGACATTGGGTGGTATGAATAAAAGCGAGTAGATACTCATATTCGAAGTACGAAGTACCTACTTCATTATTACTCTTATATACTTGAGCATCTACTCTATGTACTGAGTACCTACTTGGAAACATTGTATCTCCCCGGACACAAATTGAACATCTACGCGTTTTGTGAGCATTTAATCTAAAAATGAGCATCGGCGTGGCAAATAATTGAGCTGTCTGTAAAGCAGCTTAGAAAACGAGTAGGATCGTTGTAAGAGTGAATTTTAACTAAACATGGCGACTTTCATGAACGAAGAACGTCGTCAAAAGGTGCATTCAGTTTGAAAAACACATTAGAAGCAGGAATATCGAAAACTTTTCAGGTAATTAACGTTTATTTATGCATAAATTGTGCAGTGCGTTCTTTCTAACACTGGCCATAGAGATTCCCATCTCAAGGTGTCTACCCCATACTAACTTATATTTTGGTGAGTCGATTTTTGCCTTGATGGTTGAACACTGTCACTGTTTTCCGTTTTTGTTGTATCGAGATACTACTTGAGCATCAACTGTTACCTGCTGAAGTATTAGCATCATCTAGAAAAACTAGAAATATTTTGATATGATATTCGAGTAGATACTTCGTATTGCGAGTATGACCATCTACTGAGTTTTATTTATATCAACCATTGTCAAACAACTGATCGAACGTTTTTTCGATAGAACTTCCTTCGCACCAAAAGTATAATGTAACAGATTCAGCATTTTCGAGTTGCGTCTTTTCTTCACAAAATTTTGTGATGACCAAATCAACATTTACAATCAACACGTATATCTCCTTGGATTGGTGCAGTGTAACTAATACTAAAAATAACTGTATTGTATCTCCAAAATTATCTGCGAAAATCGAGTGACCCGTCCCATCAATTTTTAATGATTAACAATTTACCATGCTTATCTCAAAGTATTCATTTCTGCAACTCTTGAGTTATTCAATAAAATAAATTGACTGATCGATATACTTTTTTAAGTCACTGTAAAAGCAAATCTAAAAAATTGGTCTAAAGAGTTTATACAGTACTTCCCTCGCTGTCGGAAACGTGACGACTGCATGTCTATTGTGTTTTTTTTTCGCAGTGAATTTCAAAGCATACGGTTTTGTAGTTCTTGAGTAAACCAATAAAATAAATTTACGCATTCATTATTTTTTTGAGTCACTCGGTATATGCAAATTCAAAAAATGTGAATGGAATGATAAATTACAAGTACAGACTCATCATATTTTGTATATTCTAGATAAGATTTATTCGACAAACTTTTGAGCTGACGTCATCAGTTTTTTGGAGAAGATAACCACATATATTTTGACTAAAAATTTATTATGCTCTTTATAACCTTAACACATTTGCAAGATTTCAAAACATTCGTTCTGTAGTTCCTGATTAAATCAATAAAATATATTTCCGCATTCATTAATTTTTTTGGGTCACCCTGTATATGCAAATCCAAAAAATATGAATGGAATGATAAATCACAAGGAGAGACTCATCATATTTTGTGCATTTTAGATAGGATTTATTCAGAGAAATTTTGTTGTGATGTCATAAATTCTTTAGGGGGGATGAGCAAATACATTTTGATCAAAAACTTACCATGCTTATGACAACTTTAAAGAATCATCAAGATTTCAAAGCATTCGGGTTTGTAGTTCCTGAGTAAATCAATAAAATAAATTTACGCATTCATTAATTTTTTTGAGTCACCCTGTATATACAAATCGAAAAAATATGAACGGAGTGATAAATAACAAGTACAGACTCATCATATTTTGTACAGTTTAGATAGGATTTATTCGGCAAACTTTCGAGCTGACGTCATCAATTTTTTGGAGGGGATAAGCAAATATATTTTGACTAAACATTTATTATGCTCTTTATAACCTTAAAATATCTGCAAGATTTCAAAGCATTCGGTTTTGTTGTTCCTGATTAACTCAATAAAATAAATTCACGCATTCATTAATTTTTTGAGTCACCCTGTATATGCAAATCGAAAAAATTTGAATGGAATGATAAATCACAAGAAGAAACTCACCATATTTTGTACATTTTAGGTAGAATTTATTCAACAAAATTTTGTGGTGACGTCATAAATTTTTTTAAAGGGGACGACCAAATACATTTTGATAAAAAATTTACCATGCTTATGATAATTTTAAAACATCTTTAAGATTTCAAAGCATTCAGTTTTGTAATTCCTGAGTAAATCAGTAAAATACATTTACTCATTCATTAATTTTTTTGAGTCACCCTGTATATGCAAATCCAAAAAATATTAATGGAGTGATATATCACAAGTACATACTCATCATATTTTGCACATTTTAGATAGGATTTATTCGGCAAACTTTTGAACTGACGTCATCAAGTTTTTGGAGGGGATAACCAAATATATTTTGACTAAAGATTTATGATGCTCTTTATAGCCTTAAAACATCTGCAACATTTCAAAACATTCAGGTTAGCAGATTCAAAATTAAATTTCAAAATGTTGATTTATATTTTAATTTTTTTTTTCCAAAAATCTGGACGTTTCGGGTAAAAACTCAATTCGGAGTCGTTTTATACACTTTAAAAGCGATTTACTATGTACAATTTTGAAGTGACGTCATCGCATTAGTGGTGGGGATGATTAGACAAATTTTGGTTAGCGTTTTACCATCTACATGATTTTCCTAATATAACTACAAAATTTCACAACAATCGGTCCAGTACTTTCGGAGATTATCTGTCTAATAAAAATCCGGGATGGCAGACAGACGGACAGACAGACGGAAATGGGAGACCTATTTCTTCGTCTTCTAGGGATCATGAAAGATCGAGAAAAGGTAAAAGTAGAGAGTCGGCCGACGGACTCGATTACAATACTTCCTTTGCTTACGCTTGGGAAATAAAATATGAATGCAATGATAAATTACGAATATATACTGATGATATTTTGCACATTTTAGATAGGATTTATTCGGCAAAATTTTGAGATGATGTCATCAAGTCTTTGGGCTTGATGAACAGATATATTTTGAAAAGCTACCATGCTTACAGTAACTTCAAAACGTCTGCAATATTTCAAAATATTCAGTTTTGCAATTCTTGATTCAGTCAATAAAATAAATTGACCCAGTGATTAATTGTTTTGGGACACCCCGTTTAGCAAAACTAAAAAAATATTAATGCAGTGATAAATCACAAGTAAAAACTCATTATATTTTGCACATTTCAGATAGGATTTATTCAGCAAAATTTTCAGGTGACGTCATCAATTTTTTAGGGAGAATGAACAAATACATTTTAATCAAAAAATTACCATGCTTATGATAACATTAAAGCATCTCCAAGATTTCAGAGCATTCGGTTTTGCAGTTCCTGATTAAATCAATAAAATTAATTCACCCATTCATTAATTTTTTTCAGTCACCCTATATAAGCAAATCTAAAAAATATGAATGGAATAATAAATCACAAGTATAGACTCATCCTATTTTGGACATTTTAGATAGGATTCATTTGGCAAATTTTGGGCTGACGTCATCAATTTTTTGGAGGGGATAAGTAAATATATTTTGAATAAAATTTTATTATGCTTATCATATGTTTAAAACATCTGCAAGTTTTCAAAGCATTCGGTTTTGCAGATTCAAAATTAAATTGTAGGTGAAACGAAGTTCACCGGGTCAGCTAAGTAGTTTTTAATAAAATTGTAATAAATGTTGTTTAAAACACTTGCAATTTCATTTTTGAAATTTGAATGTCAACTTTGACAGCGCTGATAATTTTTTGAAGTTGTCAAAAAATTTCCACTTATTAATTTGAGCTACAAGCGTGTTATCGATGTCAAAAAGCAACGAGAACCTCAAAATTATCAAATAATTCAGTATCACGTGATCAAAATTCAGTGTTCTTATTGGATCAAAAATATCAAAATGCAATTCTCGTTGTAATTTTTGGAGTAATTCTATTCCGTGCAAACGGCTCTAGTTCTAAAAACAATTAATGCTTTTAAAACCACAAGTATAGAGTCATACTCATAATATTTTGCATATTTTAGATATGGGTTATGCGACAAAATTTTGAGATGATGTCATGAATTTTTTTGGGGAGAGATAAGCGTATGAATTTTGATAAGGACTTACCATGGTTACGGTAAACTTAAAACGTTTCCAAGATTCAGGTGCATTCGGTTTTTGCCGTTTCAAAATTAATTGGAAAATGTTGTAATACAATTTTGATTTTTTTTTCCAAAATTCTGGATGTCTAGGGTAAAAACTATATGTGGATTCACAAACTGCAAGCGGGGGAGTATCTTATTTGATAAAATTTAATTCATGCATTGTTTGTGTGGATGACCAAGCACGTTATTTTGGTTAGCATTTTACCATCTACAATACTCCCAAAATATATATCAAGTGTGACAACAATATGTGCAGTAGTTTCGAAGATTATCTATCTAATAACAATGAACACAGCCGACAAACGGACCAACTGAACGTGAGACCAATTTTTTCGTGCTTTAGATCATGAAACATTGAAAAAACGTAAAAGTAGCCGACAGACTTTTCATTTGTCTCCTGCTTGATCACAGACACTTCAAAACAATTTTTCGACATATTATTCTGTAATAAACGAATTCAATGTCATAACAAAAATTACTTACTTTGTACTTAACATAAATTGCTCTTCTATAGGGGTCATTACGGTTGCTTGGCTGCAGTCAACATAACCAGGTGCAAATTCATCCATATCACATACGAGATTTACGCGAGACTTGATTTCGTCTGATTGACCCATTGGTGATTTAGAAACTTCCTCTGAATAAAAATTACAACCAAGAGTAAAAGCTTCCTCATTTGCTGCAAGAAATAAAAAAAAATACATGTTAGTGTTAAATATTCGACAACGAATTAAGTTTTTTTGAAACTTAAAAACATTAATAATACAAGTACAACTACTGAATAATAATAATAATAATAATAATAATAATATATTTCGTGATAATCATTACAAAAAATGTTTCACATGTCCGTAAACTTAAATTTAATAAACTCAGATGTAGAATAGAAAACGTTATTAATTAATAATTCTTTGACAACTTTACAAAATACATTCTCAGGTAACTCTTTTAATGACACTGGAAGTACATTAAATAGTGTAATACAATAATACCGTAGAGCTGTTCTTGTTCTCGTTAATCTTTGAAAATCTGTTTGTAGCCATTCTTTATATCTTGTTTGATGCTCATGGTCCAGGGATCTAAACTGATTTGGATTAGCTTTCACATATCTAAGACAAGCATAAATATAAGCTGATGGTAGTGTCATAATACATAAATTTTTAAATGATACCCTACAGTCATCTCTATAATTTAACCCGGCTATAATGCGAATACATTTTCTTTGGATAGCAAATAATTTTAACAAATGATGAGAATGACCCCATACTAAAATTGCATATGATAAACAGTTATGAATATATCCAAAATAAGCTGCTCTTAATGTTTTTTCAGACACAACTAGTCGTAGCCTGCGAAGTGTGTAGATTCTTTTTGATACTGATTTGCTTAACTTAACAATATGTTGTTCAAAAGTCATTTTTTTATCCAATATTATCCCTAGCATATTAATTGTTTCCTCAACAGTATCCAGCTCTCGTAAAGAAAAATATAATCTTTGAGTCTTACTCTCATTCCTACACAATTTATTGGACAAGAACCAAGTATTGATTTCATTCTCTGCTTGAGTAATTTCGTTTATTAATTTCTTTACATCCTGATTACTACCCGCTAGTGTCGTATCGTCTGCAAACAAAATAAAGTTCGTCATGAAAGAACTGCTTGGTAAATCATTGATGAATATTAGGAATAGGATGGGACCCAAGACAGAACCTTGAGGAACACCATATCTTATTAATTGTCGTGTTGAGTTTACATTTTTATAATTTACATACTGGTACCGATTTGTCAAATATGATTTTAACAATAAAAGACTTGAACTATCGAATCCATAAAGTTCCAGTTTTTTTAACAGTAAATCATGTGCGACACATTCGAATGCTTTAGTTAGATCAAGGCATATTGCATAGGCATGATCTTTCTTACTAAATGCGTTGAACACAATTTCCGCTACTTTATTTACTGCCATTGTAGTTGAGTGGTTCTTCCTAAATCCATACTGATTATGACAGTATAACATGTTTTGTTCAAAGTAATTATTTATTTGATTTTTGAGAATTATTTCAAATATTTTACTAATTGTTGGAATTATGGATATTGGACGATAATTTTTTAGATTATCCGTACCTTTTTTGAAAACAGGAATTATTTTTCCGAGTTTTAAAACATCCGGATATACACATTCTCGTAAGCATAGATTTATAAGCTTTGTTAGTGGAATTATTATTACATTAGTTAAAACTTTTATCATTTTTGCATTTATATCATAGGCGTCTTTACTATTACTATTTTTTATTAAAGAAATAATTTGTCTGAGATCATTAAATGTTATTTCCTTGAACTTAAACTGAGAGGTATTAACAACTGACATATAATTACATGGATCAAAATTTGATTGAGGCAAGTCTTTTACAATATTTCCCGGAGCATTAGTAAAATAATCTATAAAATCATTGGATGTCAAATCATTTGTGGGTGGTAATTGTACTGACTGGGGTTTAATGATATCCCATGCTGCTTTATGTTTGTTGTCAGCTTTTAATATAAAATTATCATGCGCTGTTTTTTTTGCTTTAGCCAACTCAGAACGGTATTTATTTCTGTAACTATTGAATTCTTGTTTTGATATTAGGTTTAAATTATAAAGTTCTTTTAAAAAATGTAACTTCTCTCGCATATTTTTAAGATTATTGTTAAACCATTGTATTTTCGGTCTGTTTAAATTGTTATAAGGTAATGTTTTTATGGGAAAGGAATTCTGAACCGTCATAACTAAGATATTATGGAACTTACTAAATTTCTCATTACAGTTCAAAGATATATCATCAATGAAAGACCAATCAACCCTTTCAATTGAGTTGTATAAATTATACATGCCAGCCTTAGTTATTTAACCAACTAGTCGTGTAATGAACGCGATTAATGATTAATGATCGAGGCATTTTAATTACACGAGCGACCGAAGGGAGCTGGTGTTGGTTACACAATTTTTTCTACAATCGTAATTTTCAGTAAACCTAATAAAGGAGTGGATGGAGTCTTGTATAGGTTTCCATATGCGCGCGAGTGTAATCAACACAAGAGAGAAAGAAATAGCTAGAGCGATTATGCATCAGTGGGGTAAAGACGCCCGACTACGTGCCACGTGTTGGGTGGCAAGAAACGCTTCGTTTGAACGGGAATTAATACCTTTTCTTATGAATTTGTTCAATCAAATAATTATGGCAAACGTTTATTAATGAAAACTATATTTTTATAGTTTACATTAAAATTATATCTAATGTGAAATAACAAAAATCATGTTAAGAGGTGCGATGGTGGAGATAAACTTTTAATAAAATGAACATAACAGAATGTTCAATACATTACGTAATCTTTGGTTATAGTGTATGTTCATTGATAAATCTGAATTTTTTAGGATAAAAGTAATTAAACTTTCGAAAAAACTGACACGGTGCCTAATTTAATTAATGATATCAAATTCTAAATTTTCTAGTAAAATCTATTTTCTAAATCCACGTACAATTAACTAAAACAATAACCAATAAATGTAAAATTCCCTCTTTGTAACAATAATCAATTTTTTTCGTAACTCAGAATGTTTAGGGAATCTAACAAATAATATCGGAAGCACTAAAAATATTTGGTTTTATAGTTAGGAATTGTACTGATGTAAAAAGTGAAACACCCGTTAAATTGCTATATTATTCCTTGGTTAGGAGGAAACTCGAGTATGCGGCAATTGTATAGTATCCACATTACAGTACACACATCATGGAAATAGAAAGAATACAAAGAAGATTTCTAAAGTATTTAAATTTTAAGGTGTTTCATATATATCCACCGCGTCTATTTCCACAAGAAGAGTTGCTCTCGAAGTTTTCCATGTTAAGCATTGCCGATAGAATAAACACTGCTTATGTGAGGTTTTTTCTAAAACTGATTAATAATTACATCAGCTGTCCATATTTGTTAAACTTATTTAATTTTAGTTGTTCAAAGGTTATGATTAGAAGGCGGAATATTTTATACCACAGCAGAGCTAGGACCAATATCATGAAATACTCTCCTATTAATAATATTTGTAATGCCGTAAACAACTTCCATAATATAAATATGATATATTTTCCTGTAAGCAGGCAGACATCACAAATTTTCCATCCAGGAGGCATTTACAGCACAACACATAATTACAGAGAGTCAGAATTTTGTTCTATTCTATTTGATAATTAGTTATACTTATTTGCTGTTCTATTCTAGTTGATATTTAGTTATATTTGCACGTTGTATTTATTTATAAGATGGTCTACTATTTAGTTTTGTATTCTGTAATTGGAGATTGATCTCTGTTGAGTACAATAAATTATTATTATTATTAAAAAAAGTTATTCTTAAATTATACGAAATCATTTGTCTGTATACATCATGTGATTATTACCAATGAAATGAAACAGGATTGCTTTCTTTGTACGTTCTATGCAATTATACGCAGAATACGATTTCGCCATGTTTAACAAATAGTCCGATAAAATACAACCTAAGGAGACTGTACTAATTTGAATAAGTGTAACTTGAGCCTACAAAACGTAAATCTGCAAAAACACACCTTCAAACACCATGCGACAGCACAGAAGAAACATCCAGAAACATAGTGCTGTGCAGTGTGCAGTTTCGCGCCGATGGCGATGTCTTGCCACCCAGAGAGCCCTATCTATGTCCCACTGTGTTGACAACGCGCGTCTCTCTCTAAGTTAGTTCCACATAATATTATTTCCATGACGTGCACTCATTGATTGTGCATTCTAAGATCGACACAACTGTAAAATTGCGTAGAAGCACAAAATCGGTAGGGCCAAGTCCACTTTCAAATTTTTTACCCGTTTAGATTAGTGCCTAAAAGTACGTGTCCACTGGAAAGAAACTCTCACGAGAGTTCTGATTTTGATTTTATACCATCTTTAATCTTAAGTTGTCATTTCAAATTTCAAAGGTCTATTATTGCAATGAATTCAGTTATTACGAAAAAAATACACGTAAAACAGACTTATCGGAGATCACTGTCGCACTTCGAAATGCGTTCGTATTGTGCGAGTCGCTCACAAACTCAGAGAAACCAGGTAAAAACGATACGCTTACCCAGTTGTGGACCATGGAATTATTTCTCACAAGCGCCCTCTCAAGTGGACACGTACCTTCATGATTCATTCGCATTCGTGCTAGAGTGGTTTCAAGATCTCATGGCGGACAAGTTTGAGCACTACTGCGCATCGGATCCGACCAAACTCAGCGGCGGGCGTAGAGGGGTAGAGGCTACTGTCTGTTCCGAAAAAGTATTCACTTTTCATTAGTCGTTTCGAGCAGGTATACTTGCTTCCAAAATAAGAGAGTAAAACTACCTGCAAAACTGACTTGACTTTTAGGATATCATAATAGGCCATAAGCTTAATCCATTATACCTGGTACAAGTTGTCAATCATTCCTATTGGCCCACCTACCGCTTAGGGTTGGAAATCCCTAAAAGTCAAGTCAGTTTTGCAGGTAGTTTTACTCTCTTATTTTGGAAGCAAGTATACATCTCTCAGTTGTGCGTACTACTACCTAGAAGTTTGGGTTTAGCCGTTTAGCGAATACGGTGAACGTATTTAGGACGGTGTTGCAACCGATCGCTTTAACCGAGCACTA